TTTTATCTTCTTTTTCTTAGGTAAGTCCCTTTAACATTTCATATAATAAGGGCTTGGTGATGATGAACTCCTTCAATTTGGTCTTATCTGAGAAGCACTTTATCTGTCCTTCCATTCTAAATGAAAGCTTTGCTGGATAGAGCAATCTTGGTTGTAGGTCTTTGGATTTCATGACTTGGAACACTTCTTTCCAGCCCCTTCTTGCCTGTAAGGTCTCTTTTGAGAAATCTGCTGACAGTCTGATGGGCACTCCTTTGTATTTTACCACACTCACTGCTACTTCTAGTAATTCTTTACTCATCTGGCACTCCTTCCTTTATTCATCTCCTGTTTATTCCCATTTACACTATCCTCAGGAGCTAGTTCAAACATTCTCCACTTTCCACAGAGTGATGAGAGGGCCGGGCCATTCCTGTTGGCAGGTGTAGTAAATGCTGGAGAAGGGAGGACAGCTCTAGTCCAGTCCCTCCCCTCTTCTAAGGCTCCATGCCCTGTATAAGTCGGACAAGAAATAATCCTGCAAGCATGGGGTCCAGTCCCAGGATCTCTTGAAGCCTTGTTCCTTCCATATTTCTTTTTTTTTCTTTCACTTTTTATTATTTCATTCCTCACCTTAACCAAAATAGTACTCTTTAGTAAGTCAACTATTTCTGTTGATTTGCCTCTGGTAGCGCATCCTACGTCTACCCCTGCTGTGGTTTCTTTGTCTCCACTTTATTACTACAGCTGCTCCTTGACTTGCAATGGACTTGTGTCCCAATAAACCCGTGGTAAGTGAAAACACCAAATCAATACACATATGCATTTAACACACCTAACCTCCCGAACAGCGCAGCTTAGCCTAGCGTGCCTTAAACGTGCTCAGAACACAGTATCCCAGAGACACAGCATGGCGTAAAGTACCCGCTGTCGGCCCTCATCAGCGCGTGTCCGACTGGGAGCTGCAGCTCACTGCCACTGTCCAGCACTGTGAGAGAGCACCTCACTGCGTACTGCCAGCCCAGGAAAAGGTCAACATTCCAAATTCAACGTACGGGTTATGATGAATGTGAAAGGTATCACTTTCACATCATCTAAAGCTGAAAGTCATACGTCAAACCACTGTTAAGCCAAGTCTATTTCGCATAACAGGTCTCTCCTACCTCCAGTTTTTCCCTATCAATCAAATCCTGCACGCTGCCATCGACATTAATATCCTAAACACTTCATCATGTCATTCTCCAACTTGAAAACCTTCAGTGGCTTTCCATTATAAAATAAAATTCAGACTCTGCCATCTTGCACTCAAGGTCCACACCATCTGGCCCATTCTACTTCACTGCCTTGATTGTTCCAAACTCCATTTCACTGGCACCCGATACGACTTGTGGTTTCTAGTCTAAGCTTCTCAATCACACGCATCATTCTTCATAGTGCCTGCGTTCCCGCCTTCTGCTGTCCCTCCTCCAGTGCTTAGACAAAGCCCCCGTCCCAACAGTGTGATTTCATTAACTACCCCAGCCTTTAGGGAGTCCCCTTCTTATGCAGAACCCCGTGACATCAGAATTATTGTTCTAATAACTTATACCTTGCCTTCTTGACTTGATAGATATTTTAAGTGTGTGTATATATATATATTCCATAGTGCCTACCATAATCTAAAGCATAAAGCAGAACATGGGTTAAATTAGTGTTTTCTAACAAGTTTTGGAATTTTCAGATAGGAGGACTCCAAAATCTTGAATCTTGACTGTCTTTGTGATGGATTTTGACTAACAAAATATGGCAGAAGTGACACTATGCATATTCTTTTTCCCACATCTTATTTTTTAGTGTGGTACAATATACCTAAGTTAAAATCCACCATTTTAACCACTTTTAAGTGCACAGTTCAGTGGCATTAAGTGCATTCACACTGCTGTGCCACAATCATGACCATCCATCCCTTTTTTCATCTTGTGACACTGGAACTCTGTACCCACTAAATAGTAACTCCCCATCTCCTTTCTACCCTGGCCCCCGGCAACCACCATTCTATATCCTATATCCCCTGGATCTGACTGCTCTACGTACTTCAGGTGAGTACAGTTACATAGCATTTGTTTTTGTGTGACTGTTTCACCTAGCATAACACCTGCAAGGTTCGTCCCTATCACTGACATGTGTCGGAATTTCCTTCCTTTTTTAGGCTGAATAATATTCCATTGTATGTATATATAACATTTTGTTGATTCATTAATCAATGGACACTGTTGGTTACTGTGAATGATATTGCGATGAACATGGATGTACAAATATCTGTTTGAGTCCTTGCTTTCACTTCTTTTGTGTATCTGCCCAGAAGTGGAATTGCTGGAACACACGGTAATTCTGTTTCATTTTTTTGAAGGAATGCCATACTGTTTACCCAAGAGCTAAAGCATTTTACATTCCCGACTACAGTGTACAAGAAAGGCTTCCAATTCCTCCAAATCCTCACCAACACCTGTTATTATAGATTTATGACTCATTTCCAGCTACTTTTTGCATATGGTGGAAAGTAAAGACCCAATATTATTCCTTTGCACATGGATATTCAGTTTTCCTAGCATCAACTGTTGATAAGACCATCCTTTCCCCATTGAATGGTCTTGGTACTACTGTCAAAAATCATGGGCTCTGTATATTTATTTCTGGGCTTTCTATTCTAATCCATTGGTCTGTAAAACTGTGTGTTTTAATTACTGTAGTTTTTTTATTTTGATTAGTGTAGCTTTGTAGGAAGTTTTGAAATCTAGAAGTAGGAGACCTCCAACTTTGTTTCTCCTTTTCAAGATTGTTTGACTATTTGAATCTGTTGAAATTCCATATGAGTTTTAGGATGGATTTTTTATTTCTGCAAAAAAAAAAGTCAACAGGATTTTTATGAAAATTATATTAAATCTATAGATTGCTTTGGAGAATACTGACATTTTAATAATACTGCTTTCCAATCCATGCACATGTGATATCTTTCCATGTTTTGGTGTTTTTAATTTCTTTCACTGTTTTATAGTTTTTAGTGTACAAGTCTTTCACCTCCTTGGTTAAGATTTCCCTAAGTGTTCATTCTTTTTGATGCTATTATAAATGGACACATGCAGATCCTAAGTAGGTTTCCACAGGCCTTACACCTTCTGCTACTATTAGCTTAGCAGGTTACTGTCACCACCTAAAAGCCCCAGGCTTACCTAATAGGACCACATGGCCTACCTAACTGTTGGCACAACTGCCAGACACAAGAGTGAGGCAATTTTAGATCACTCAGCTCCAGTCAAGCTGTCAGATGACCACAGCCACTTGTGACATACCAGGTGAGACCAGCAAAAGGACCACTCTGCAGAACCAAGTCAAACTGCTTACCCACAAAACTGTGAGCAAATAAAAGCTGTTATTTTAAGCCAGTAAGTTTTTGGGGTAGTAGCAAAACCCAACTGAAACAATTAAGTAATTGTAGTTAATATTTCTTAACTATGGTAATTTATTCATTACTTTGTAGCCTCTTTCAAACTGTTTCTCAGAGGTTATTAAGATTTATTCTAACTCAGACAAGACAGTTACTTTGATGCTAAATACTCTACATAATTCATCATGTTCATGAATGATTTAAAGTCTGAATGTCAGCATTCTAAATAATTTATAATTTTTAACAAGTAGATAGCTTAAAATTTTATAAGAACTGTAGAAGTAAACATTTTATTTTTCTTATTTGTAACTTGAAAACTGAAAAAAAAACAGTAAGTAAATATTATAAATAATGTTTTCAAGCTAACCTGTGCTATTGCTAATATTTGCTAGCAATTAGTTCTAAATTTATTGAGGACAGACCTTGAAATTATATTATCTGATTATTTAAAAAACTTAGATAATCATAATATTTAGGAAGAAAGTATTTAACATTAAAAATATTTATAATTCCAAAGCATTTAGAGGCATGTTGACTAAGCAGAATGCCTTAAAATTACTTAAAAATTTTATTTGCTTACAAATAATGTTATTTATTAATGAATACAGCTATGAAACATTATAGTTCATGTAGAAAAAATAATCCCACAGAATAATATCCAAAAGTAACATACTATTTAAAACATGCTAAAGCTAAAATCTACTCTATAAAAATTTCTACTGCATTAAAAAATTCATTTTGAGTCCTTGGCTGGTGTGGCTCAGTGGATTGAACACCAGCCTGCAAACCAAAGGGTCACTGGTTTGATTCCCAGTCAGGTTACATGCCTGGGTTGCAGGTCGGGTTGCTGGTGGGAGGTGCATGAAAGGCAGCCACACACTGATGTTTCTTTCCCTCTCTTTCGCCCTCCCTTCCCCTCTGCCTAAAAACTTCCCCAAAACAAAAAACAATAATGACAACCAAAAAATTCATTTTGAGAATTTACTCTCTCTGGTGTTGAAATAGTTGATTTAGAATTGTTTATTTGTATTATATGCATGCTTTAAAAGAAATATAAAGAAGCAGGACAGAAGGAATAGAGAGAAAATGTAATAAAAGAGGTATTAAGGTACAGTTTTATATGCTAACTAGATAAAAAATAGGATAATTATTTCTGACAAACCAACTGGAATTAATGCTTACTGAAGTAGAAACAAATTTAGTTAACTTTTAAGGTTGAGGCAAATTTCTCCAAGTCTATGTCCTAAATGTCTTTGTATCATTTGTTTTGGAAACTGAATTTACTGTCAGAATTATCTCATATTTGCATTATTAAAAACATCTTTTGAGATGGTTGTTATTTTAATTTTAAAGAGTCCTAAATATTTCTCTAAGTGTGGGCTATGATTTATTTAACTATAATCAATTATTTACATTTCTCTGCAAGTACATTTCTATAAGGAATACTACAACTGCACCATTTCCCTACACACATTTATGGCTATATACTGAATATCAAAATATAGCCTATAATTTTATATATATACAAAACTGTGCTTCTCAATCTAACAATAAAATAAAGGAGGAAATACAAGTGAGAGAATTAAAATGTACTCACAAAGTCGAAGTCTCCATCTTGAGGAACTTTCCAGTTGTCAGGAAAAACATTTTTGGACATGGGGAAGGGTTCATGCATGTTCTGATTACAGTTTTCATGACTCTTATTCTTGAAGTCCTGCTTATCAAAGTAGTCCATGAAAGACGGTCTTTGTACTTGTGGGGACGTTGCATTTCCTTTGGTAAACAAAGAACAAGAGGAGTGCCTAAGTTCTCACATTTCAAGAAGCACAATTTTTATTGAAGTGTAATTTTTTATTGAACTATATAATAAATTTTCACTGGTTAGATTTAAGGCCAACATAGTCAATTTAATGGAGAACAAAGTAAAATAAAATAACACAAGAATGAAGAAACAAATATATTCAGGCCAAATAAAAATTCAAATGACTAGGCAGAGATCTACAATATTCTTAGGTTGCAGAAACCTTGTAGGATTTTGGCAGATCTTTACACAATTTTATTTAAGATCATTTCAGATGTGTTTGAAATCTGCCAGAGAAGGCCAATTTTTAAAACCTGTTTCATTTTGAACAGTGAGGCCTGAACTGTCCTTGTCACTGTGCACCACTATCAGCTACAGAAGGTGTGAGGGCTTGCCCAGGTCCCTCCTTTATCTCTTCGCTTCCTTTTAGTCTTTCTTTTTTATAGATTTTTCTTGTTTTTTTAAAGTATATTTCATTGATTATGCTATTACAGTTGTCCCAATTTTTCTCCCTTTTATCCTCCTCCGCCCTGCATTTCCTCCTCCCTCCAAAATTCACCCCCCCACCACCTTAGTTCATACCCATGGGTTGTACATATAAGTTCTTCGGCTTCTCCATTTCCTAAACCATTCTCAACCTCCCTCTATCTATTTTGTGCCTACCAATTATTCTTCTAATTCCCTGTACCTTTTCCCCCATTCTCCCCATCCTCCTCCCCACTGATAACCCTCCATGTGATGTCCATTTCTATAGTCTTTCTACCTAATTCCATCTCCCCGTGGACTCCCATGGTGTCACCTCTTACAGTGTTTGTATCTGTGACTTCTGGCTCTATTTCTCCAGCCCAGATCTTGCTTCTAAGTTCTATACCTGACCTCCTACTGCTTACTATTAGACTACTGGACCTGAGGTGAGTTAGTTAGCCCAGACTTCCCAGCTCTAAAGTTAAATTCAAGGTCTTTCTCTTCAAGCTTACTGCTAATCTAATAAAGTCAACATTATTTATCCCCAAAGTGATGAAGTTGAGAAATAACCCAGATTCCTCTCTTCCCATCACACCACACTAATCATTGGGTCTTTTTAATTCTACTTTGCAAGACAGCTGTTTAAACCTAGTCCTTTTTCTCTATCCACCATTGCTGGCCTCAGAGTTCAGCTTCTCATCATTTCTTGCCTAGGCCACTGCGGCAGCCTCCAAACTGGTCTCACTGGTTCATCCAGTTTTGATTTTAGTTTCACACTGGTAACACAGTGACATTTCTAATGCAAATCAAACCGTGTCATTCCTCTTCTCAGGACCTTTCAATGGCTCCTCATTTCTACACTGAATGATTAAAGTGGAAAATACACATTCAAAATAACTAGATTTTAAAATCCAGACAGTATGGTCTTGATTAGTGGTTTTCAAGCTGGATTCTGTAAAGCCCTAGAATTCCAAAAGAACTTCCCAGTTACCACCACAAAGACATTCCGCCACAGTTCTCCAGACAGTAAGTTTCCTTCCTCCGTCGTAAACAGTTCCTGCGCTGGGAAGGCCACCTCCCCACAAGGAAGCGTGTTGGGCATCTCTGAGGTACAAAAAGTATTTTTAAATATGAACCTGAAATTTGGCCTTCTATAATTTATACTCATGTTCCAAGTAAATTCTTCTTGTAAATACCAGTACATCACATATCTGAAGACACAGTTAATAGCTCCTGTCTTGGTGGTCTGTTTTTCATATGAACCGTCCCTGGTTCCTTTCCATAGGACATGTTTTTCAGATTCATCATCACCTTGTGTACTTGCCTATGGACACACTCCAGTTGCTCCAAGATCCTCTAATATCAGGTGTAATATTGCTAATAGCACTCTGGCCAATGTAGAATGCATTTGCAATAGTAGTGACCATTATGACACCTAAGTAACATTGTTGGCTCATAAATTTGGTCAAAAGAATATGATGGTAAAAAAACCCCTATTTTTACCCTTTAGGAATATGAGGTAAAAGTGAATTGATTGATACCTGCTCTAAATGGTGAATCAGCAAGTCTGGAGTTCTTTAAATTAAAAGGGAGGGGAGAGGGAGGAGGTAAGCACTCTTCTCCATTTTCCTTTCCCCAGCTTTTAGATCTCAGTGTGCATTATTTGGTCATTTGGGAATTTAGATGAGTTGCTCGGGTAAAGATAGTGAAAGGCTGGAAATGACAGTATTTATTTATTTAAAATTTCCATCACGTTACCTTAAAATGACATAATTTTCCCTGTCAAAACTAAGTTTTTATTGACTTCTCATTATGCATTTTTTAAAAACTATGGTTAAATACACATAACATAAAACCAATCTTCTTAACCATTTTAAAAGGGGCAGTCCACCAGTGTTAAGTATATTCACACCATTGTGCAATCGATCTCCATCTTGCAAGGCTAAAGTTCTATACCCATTACACGACCTCCCCATTCCTTCTTCTCTGCCCTCCCCAGAAACTACCATTCTATTTTCAATATCTATGAATTAGATTACTCTAGATATCTCATATAAGTGGAATTATTATAATATTTGTCTTTCTTATGACTGGCTCACTTCACTTAGCTTGATGTCCTCAAGGATATGGTATCATGTGTCAGAATTCCCTTCCTTCTGAAGTGAAATAATATTCCACTGTATGTGTATGCCATATTTGCTTATCCATTCATCTGTCAATGGATCCTAGGGTTACCTCTGTCTTTTGGCTACTCTGAATGATGCTATTATGAATACGGGTGTACAAATCTCTCTCCAAGATGCTGCTGACCATGTTTTTAAGTTAACTATCCTTAGTCTTTCTCTATACACATGCAAAGTGATCTTATTTTTTAATACTGACACAGAGGACTTTTTCATTTTCTTATGGGTGTTTTGATGGTTGAGCCTAATTTATAATCAGGTAAATCATTATAATACATTGTAAGTAAATACGAATATTAGTAAAAGTAATATATTTATTTCTTTTTTCAGTTCATGTGTTTTTTATGTGTGTTTATCTTTTCTTTTCCTTATACTCTAAGTTCCCTAACACAGGAACCCAAATACTGTACTCAAATCATTTCATAAACAACTATGACCATCAGTGAGTGGTTTTGACTGCAGCCAGATGTTCAACATCGATGGCCATGAGGAGGAGCTCATAGGTGGTATGTGGTTTTTCAACATCATTACTTTTGAATTAGTAGAGGCTACTAGTATTTCATTATTAGCAACTGTGTATTGGCACAATAAATTTAAAAAAATCATATGACTACTACAATTTTAAAATGATCTGTCCCAGTAGAATCAGAAGGAATCTGATATTCAGAATATGCATGTATTCGTGGAAAAACAGCAAAAAAAAAAGCTGTTTATCTGAAGACTTGTTCTTCAATTAGAGCTGCTCAGGCTTTTAGGAGATTTAAAAATAAGCATGACAAAACATCTGGGACCCAAATGATACCCACTGAAAAAATATTAGACATTCCATCTAAATTAGAATAGAATAAAACCGCAGTATTCATAGTAAACCTTCAGAACTCAGAACACTCTCAGCCCACATACAAAACTCAAGAAAAAGAAACTCCTTAGGGAGTTTAACAAGATACCAGCCAAAGCTGCCTTTAGATTCCCTGTCAGACTAGACTTCACTAGTAATATTATAAATGAATAAAATAAATAGGAGAAAAGTCTAATGTTTTAATGATCAATAAATGTTATATAAAGATTCTGGGTTTCTTCTGGTCTTTTATCTTCAACTTCTTCCCTAAAATCGCCTATTGTTTATAAAAAAAGGAACTGGTTAATTTGACAAGGCTACATTACTGACATCTGGACTGGACACATTCATTCCATTAACATTTTCAACAGATTTTAAGAACCCATGATTTATCTCTGGGCTTCATCGTTATAAGAGATTTTATCATCAGAATTGAAATTTGGTTCCTAGGCAATCTTTTATTCCATAACAGAGTCCAGGAATTTAACCTCAATTACTTTCCACCTCTGACCTTTTTATGAAGATAAATAATAAAATGTTACAAGTGTAGTTCACTCAACAACTTTTCTTTAAATTGAGCAAATCAAATCATGTGGCAGGGTCGGATAATCCCATAATGGAAGACTTTGCTCAATATTCTTTTTTTTAAAGAGATGAATAATTTTATAATAGAACTGCATATTTATTTATATTGTGAGTTCTCATTTTAATCAGCTAGTCTTAAGACGCGTCTAAAAATCTTAGCACTCAGTACAAGGGTTATCAATTTCTACATAGTAAAATAAGGATCAGAGAGGAGAGTTTCTTTGGGAAATCACTACTGCAAAAAACCCCCCCATGTATTTCACCATTATCAACTGCATTTGACAAACCTATAGAGAAGGTCTCATTGAAGCAAGTTTCTATATAGCATTCTTTTAAAAATAAATGTAGCTTATGTAGGTGCTTTGGTAAAAACAGCCCTGGCTGGTGTGGCTCAGTGGATTGAGTGCCAGCCTGCGAACAAAGGGTCACCGGTTCGATTCCCAATCAGGGAACACGCCTGGGTTGCGGGCCAGGTCCCTGTTAGGGGGCCACGTGAGAGACAACCACACATTGATGCTTTTCTCCCTCTCTCTCTTTCTCCCTCCCTTCTTCTCCGTCTAAAAATAAATAAAATCTTAAAAGAAAGAAACCCCACATTATGGCACTGAAGAACACAGCACTTACTGACCACTGCCCCTCCCCAAACGTTCCTCCCCCCAAGCACCCTCACCAGGCCAGGCCTGAACTGCTCTTTCTTTTTTTTTTTTAAGTATATTTTATTGATTATGTTATTATAGTTGTCTCATTTTTTCCCTCCCTTTTATCCCCCTCCATCCAGTAACCCCACTCCTTCCCACCATTCCCCGCCTTAGTTCACGTCCACGGGTCAGGCATATAAGGTCTTTGGCCTGTCCATTCCCTATACTGTTCTCTAACCTCCCTCTGTCGACTTTGTGTTACT